AACAGCTTCCCTTCATCTTTCTTCAACTTGAGATATGACTCCATAGGAGTAGCCATTTCTTTTGACTCCCCCATGCCAAAACACTCCAAGAGACCTTTTGCATATCCTTTTTGAGAAACAAAATAACCTTGATCTGATTTTTCTACTTTTAGACCAAGGAAACATCCAATCTCTCCCAGATTTTTCATCTCAAAACACACAGATAAATTATTCCTTAAATGAGAAATTTCTGATTCATTATATCATGTTATTATCATATCATCAACATTTAATAATACCAACAGATGCATATTTGATTCTAATTTTATGAACAAACTAGAATCTGAATTAGAAACTTTAAAGCCACAAAAGATGAGATATTGAGCAACTTTACCATACCAAGCACGCGCCGCTTGTTTTAGACCGTAGAGTGCTTTCTTTAACCGGCATACATGATGTGGAAATTACTTAGAGACAAAACCTTGGGATTGCTCCATAAATGCTTCACGATCCAACTCTCCATAAAGAAATGCATTATTTACATCAAGTTGCCACAACTTCCAATCTTTAAAAGCAGCAAGCGAAAAAATTGATCTCATCATCACCATCTTTGCTATTGGACTAAAACTCTCCTCGTAGTCTAATCCATAGCTTTGAGAAAAACCACGGGCAACTAAACAAGCTTTCAACCTATCAATCGTCCCATCTGATTTTTTCTTCAACCAATAAACCCATCTGAAAGTGACTGGCTTAGAATTTTCTGGTTTGGGTACTAACTCCCATGTCTCATTTTTGTGTAATGCTTCAATTTCTTCTTGCATTACTCTTTCCCATTTTAGACAGTCTTTGGCTTCCTCATAGCTTGCTGGTTCTTCTGCACTTAAAGCTCCTATAAAGAAACATGAGGTCACTGTGCAATGATTAAGTTGTACCTCATAATCTTTGAGATAATCTGGCTGCCTTGTCTCCCTTGTTGATCTTCTCACTGCTTTGTTTCTCACCATCTTCTGGTCTTTGAATATTCTACCTTGGAGATTCATTTTTTGTTTCATCATTGCTAGGTGCTTGCAGATTAATTTTAGGAGATAGAGGCTCAAAGTTGTCTTGATCATCATCAAGAGCAATATTTTTTACCACGGGCTTTTGAGCAAAACATAGAGATGATACTTCATCAAACACCACATCTCTGGAAGTAACAAATTTATTTGTTCTTGGATCCACACACCTCCAACCCTTACTATAAGAGTCATAGCCAAAAAATACACATTTCTTTGCTTTCGAGTCAATTTTGGATCGATTAGATATAGGAACATGAACATAACAAATAGAACCAAATACCCGAAAATAATTCACATTTGGTTTTTCACCATATAAAATCTCAAAAGGAGATTTTTGTGTACCTGGCCACGAAGGTAACCTATTTATCACATGACATGCACACTGAATAGCTTTTGCCCAAAGCTCCTGAAGAAGATTCTTCTCATGCAACCATGAAAGACAAACTGAAGCAAGATATATGACCAAGTTTCCTTTCTACAACTCCATTCTGCTGAGGGGTATCTAGACATGTCATTTGATGAAGAATACCGTTGTCATCACAAAATTTAAAGAATATCACTCCGCATACATTTTATTTTCTTCCTGAAATTCTTTTCAACAACATCCTTGAATTCCATAAACTTGGATAATGCTTCACTCTTCTCTTTCAAAAATTTCACCCAAGTGAACCGTGAGTGATCATCCACCAATACCATAACATAACAATGTTTGCTACAGCTTGGTGCTCTCGTTGGTCCCATCAAGTTTGTATGAACCAATTCAGATAAGGTGGATTTGCGATTTGATGAACTTTTGAAAGGAAGACGATGTGATTTGCCATATTGGCAACCTTGACAAATCACATTCTCACGTACATACTTCAAAGTCAGTATGTCATCTATCAACTTTTTAGAAGAAATCTGTTGCAACATTTAGTAGCCTACATGACCCAACCAAGCATGCCAAATTGTGGCACTATTGATTTGGCTTGTTTTCTTTACATAGGCTTCACTTGCTGACATAATGAACAGAGAACCTTTCTTCTCATCAGTAAGAATAACATCAGCAGATATATCTTTCACATTATCAAGCACCTTCACATCATTTGGACCAAACAAAACATATTTTCTAGAATCAGCAATTTGAGAAACTGAAACTAAATTTTTCTTCAAACCTGGAACATGATAAACATCATTCAACTTAACACTACTAGTTCTTGTATCATCAGCAACATCGATTGTCACAACACCTTCTTTTGCTACCAGATAGGTTGAGTTATTTGTAGTAACAATAACCCGCTATCCATGGTGTTGACGCATTTCTGAGAACAATGTGTCATTTCTGGTTACATGGTGTGAACAACCTAAATCAATTATCCACTCCTCTTTGTCTTTATTGACATAATTAACAAGAGTTTGGACTGACATTTCTTCAACTTATCTCCTTCACTTGCACATACAACCCACTTTTCTTCATCCAACTCAGGCACTGCAACATCTTCCCTCATTATGCCAGCATAATCATCAGTTACTTTTGCACCAGCCTGAGCAAACAGTTCCACTACAGCAGGCAACATACCATAGTATCTCTTCAAATCATTAACCAATTGTTTGCCACTTGTTAGATCCTGAACATGCCATACATATACTGGAGGAACCAAATCATCAACTGTTGCCTCCTGCCATGCATGTTGCCCATCCCTCATCTGGTGCTTGTAAGCTTGGCAATTCCTCACTCTGTGACCCTTAGGCCCCACTTGGACCTCTGAACAGTATCCACAGGTTTGGACAGCATACTTCTGCATGAGTTTGGATGGTCCTGACCGCATTCTCTCCCATGCCTCCATACCTCTAACAGCAACATCTGGATGGATGTCAGAAAAACAGTATGCCTTCATTGAACTACATTCGTTAAGCCAGATGACAAAACATTGAAACAACGAGGACATAACTCTATCCAATTTCACTCGGCTAGAGAATCAGATTGGGAAAAAAATGAAGAGGTAGATTTTATCAAAGTCATTAATAAAAGATAATAGCAACAAGAAGGGGTCTAGAGTAATCTAAGACACTGAGTATATTTTGGCACTGCAGGGAAGAGTCAAAAGTCAAATTCTGGCCCAAATTTTGGATGAAATGCGAAAATCTATATCACTTATGTCAAGGGCCAAAAAAAAAAAAAAGATTCCATATTATACATACAATTACCAGGCAAATAACTTTTGAAAAGCATTAAACTAATTTCATATGCTTAAGAAATCATTTTGTTACAAAGTCTAATCAATAACACCACAACCATTCACAAATTATTCGAGCACTACATTGTGTAAAAAAGAATCAACAATCTTCAAGAGTATCCACTTATGATTCAACATTTTACACAAACTGGGCATCTTACGACAAGTGGTACCACAGAGAATCACTATCAAGNTCTGGCTGCATAAACTTCATGAGCAATTGGTATCAATTCCTTGACCAATAATCCATTTTCTGGAGGCCGTAGAATCTTCTCTTTCACCATCTGCCGCTGTTTCTTTTCCCTTCTAGCTAAACGCTTAAGTTCATTAATACTTGTGACCAATGGTTTCCGCTCATTTTTCTTTAGCTTCCTTGGGAACTCTGTGCGGATCGATCCAGTAGAGTACATACCACATGGATGCTTTAACTTATTTATACCAATAATGTTTGCATTAGAATTTTGCATAATCAAATCATGCAAATTCACAAGGCTTTGAATTCGTCTAGGCAGCATTGTTCTCATAAGAACTTGTTCTGGTATTCAAGATCAGACATTCTAATGTCAGAACAAGAAAGCAACCAGGAATTAAAGAAGTACTAATTTACAGGAAAAAAAATGTAAACCCAAGACAAGTGTGCCATATCCATATTATACATACAATTACCAGGCAAATAACTTTTGAAAAGCATTAAACTATACATTTTGTTACAAAGTCTAATCAATAACACCACAACAGTTCACAAATTATTCAAGCACTAGATTGTGTAATAAAGAATCAACAATCTTCAACAGTTTCCACTTATGATTCAACATTTTACACAAACTGGGCATCTTACGACAAGTGGTACCACAGAGAGAGAATCACTATCAAGGGAAAAAAAAAAAAAAAAAAAAACACTTCAAACGCAATCCCATCGGTTAGTTATGCATTTTGTCAAACAGTTTACATGCAAAAGTGAAAATACAAACCTATAACATAAACTCTTAATAACCCATGTGGCCCATAGGCTTGTTTCGTGGGTTCAACAAAACGACGGGGCGGGGCCGGATTTCCCATTCCCCGTCCCCGTTAGATGTATCCATTCCCTCCCCGAATTGTTATATTCTATTAGTTAACATTGAATAAGACCCAGATCAAACAACAGCTAAGGTTCAACACAAAATGCCGTTTCCCGTTGCGTCCTCCCACTTTTCGTCACTTTCTCAGCTACCAAACGGGAACTAAACATTTTAAAAACTAATCTTTCTACTTCCAGTATTCTCATCGCCCAAATTACAAAACCCATAAGCTTAAAAAATCTTCACTTTTTTGCATTTTTTCTAAGCAACCAAACATTAAAAAAAAAAAAAAAAAAAGAAAAAAAAAGCAAAATACATTAAAAACCAAACCAACCTTAAAGCTAGAGAGAAGACCCGATTCATAGAGGGAAATATAGTTGAAAGGAATTGGAGATACCATAAAGTGTTGGATTTTAGCTTGGGCAAATTTTAGGGTTTGAAGATGAAAAGCGGGGCTGAGATAGCGACGGCAAATTCTGGAACTTTGGGTAACATTAGAAAAATTAGTATAGACTATTATCTACAATCAAGTAAGATCCCTATAATTCATAAGGTCATCAAGGTTTATAAATAACATTATTAAATATTAATACAACCTTCAAATTACTGAAAACCTTAGATATTATAATACGATAATTGTTTAACATACTATTTTTACAATACATAGCACGTTATTGAGTTCTTGACATATCATTACGACGAGTTACATTATTAATTCTTAGCAAAACTCCCTTGCATTCACATTAATTTTATATAGACAATCCATATCCATAGCATTGTTCTAAACAGAACATTCAGTGTTTTAACCAGAGATTTGAATAGCCTTGACGTCAGGTTTCTTAACCTCAACTTTAGGAACAGTAACGGTCAAAACTCCATTCTCCATAGAAGCCTTGATTTGATCCATCTTCACATTCTCTGGTAGCTTAAACCTCCTGGAGAATTTCCCACTACTCCGTTCCACACGATGCCATGTGTCGTTCTTGTCTTCCTTCTCTATATTCCTCTCTCCGCTAATCTGAAGCATCCTCTCATCTTCGATCTCCACCTTCACTTCTTCTTTCTTGAGCCCAGGAAGATCGGCCTTGAACACGTGAGCCTCCGGGGTTTCCCTCCAGTCTATCCGGGTGTTGACAATAGCAGAGGTTTCTTGAGGGAAACGAGTGGAGAGTGAAGAAAAGTCCTTAAATGGATCCCAAACATCCAGAGAGAAGGGATCGAAGATGCTGCTGCGCTGGTTGCCCAAGAAGCTCGGAATCAGTGCCATATGGTATCTGGCAGTGCGAGAGTACTAGTTTTGATTGCTGAGTTTGAAGCTTCAACTTTGAAGAATAGTCTTTGATGGTCTAAAACGGAAGTGCGTTGGGGTTTTTATTAAGAATAATGGAAAATTCTGGTATTTACGCGCGCAATCTCTTCTGTTTAGTTAATGAAGCCCCTGGGGCCTTCTGGTAAATTCGCGAAGTTCTTAATTTCCTGGCTTGCTAGAAAGTTCTGGACTTTCTTATGATATGGGCTCTCAAGTTAAGCTTTCATTAGAGGCCCAAACCTCAAATGGGTAAAAGCCTTTTATTATATATTTTCCCTTTATCTATTATTTTTCACAACTTTTAAAAAACTCATAGTTTATTCTTCAAATTGCTTAAAAAAAAAAAAAAAAAGGTAAATTTTTAATTTAGCGGATTATATTTATCATGGTAGAGTTTTTTTATAATTATTGGAATTTTTTTTAGGAATACATAATTCTTTACTTAACCGTTTGTTGACAGAAGAAGTATAGAAAATATAGAAAACTTATATGGTAATTAAGAAGATAAAATCTTGGGTTTAGGACACTTACGAGGAAAAAAAACAAAATTAAATGCATAGATATTTACTATCTAATATTATAATTGCCATATGTCAATGGATCTTTATAAATTTAGAAAATAAAATAAGGAAATGATTTAAGTCTATTAATCTAGATGAACTAAAAATTAGAAAAATGGGGTGTAAAGAAAAAACATATTTATGTCTAAACGGGTAATTTTGATATTAAATGGGTTTAAAAGGAGATTTTAAAATAGAGTAAACGACTTTTTCCCACCCAAGGTTTTGTCTAATGACACGTTGAGTTTCAAAATGCCACTTTTTCCACCCATCAATTTTCAGAACAACACTTTTCCAACCCACCTTTATGTTTTGTTAGAAAAATTTGTTATGTCACATGGTATAAATAGTGTAAAGACAAAATTACCCTTCTTTCTCATTCGCCACCTTTGATTCCAACGACTGGAAAAACAATTACACACAACCACAAACACTTCTAAACCAACTTCACTAGTTGATTTCCAACAAAACAACTCCAAACAATTACACCCAAATCATCAATCAAGCAAAAAACGCTAGGAAAGGAAGTAGTGATTAGCGACGTTCGGCGGGCAAACAGGATCGGCTTTGTTGGGGGTTTTGGAGAGGAAGTGTCGTGGGTGTGTAATCATGGAATTAGAATCAATTATCAAGGTGTACATAATATTATTATAACATATAAATATAATTTCCTAATATATATGTGAATGTTAATATATATGTTATATATATTCTTGCAAATAAAATGTTTGGGTTTAAAAATATATAGAGTAAAAGTAAAACCATAATCATACAATCCCCGAATTCTCTGCGGGCCAGGCTCAGGGATTCCCTTACATCTTTGTCTCGAGGACGAGCCGGGTTTGAGGAATCCTCTTGGGCCCTTGGGCTGGGCTCGAAGACATGGGTGCCTACCCTCGACCGACCCGTGCCCATCCCTAACTTTAGTCACTATGTTTATCATTGTGTTTATTACTTGATGACCAAAATGAAATACTAAATTAACCTTATGTAGTTTAGGCAGTTAATATATATGGACCCAAGTGTCACTTTATGACTCTTTTGGGTCGAACTTTACTTATCCCAAACCATTTGGACTAAAATGTACTTAACTCATTAAATATCGCTAAGTGTTAATGTCAATTGCTAAGTGTTAATGTCAAATCTAAGTACTTGAGTTGTCATTTTTAGTTTTCGTCTTAAGGGTTGAGAACGTATGGGTAAACAATATTGACCATTATCTACTATTAAAATAAAAATTTAAGGTGATTAAGTGTTAATGAGGAAGCCATCTCACTAACATCATATGTAAAGTCCGTAGTAAATTTTCAACCAATATTAAAATAGATATTGATGTTTTTAAAAAGGTGATTCTTTCAACTTATTTTGATAGTGTACATTATTTACAGAAATCAGTGTACACAAATATCTCTTTAGAAAATCTATTATTGAAAGAAAAGGAAATCAATCCATTCGTAGGTAGCCCAAATGATTATGACGAATTGATGATAGTGTAAAATATAGATAGACACACGGTCTTAGGTTCAATTCTCTATTTGAGCATATATCCGACTTAAGTGGAAAGCTATAAAGATTAGTCGATTTGCGCAAAAATTGACTCAGATACTTTGGTTAAAAAAGAAAAGAAAAGAGAAAAAAAAAAAAAAGCAAATTATTATGTTTGTTGAAATAAGTGGTATAATGAATGATCCATATCTCCCATGCATATTTCTTATGAAAAATGCTACATTTATAATATAATATCACAACCTTCTTTAACAACCTTGACGTGTTAGCAGATTGACAGTGTCACGTCAGCTCCCACCACACCCAAGACACTACAAGAAACAAATGATCGTTCCTTCAGAAGGAACGATCGGAATAGCTATTCTTTCATCCTTATGAAGGAACAACCTTGTTCCTTACCTTGTTTCTCTCCTGTCAATTCTCTTCTTCAATTTCGTTCTTCTTCTTCTTCTTCTTGGAACAACGTTATTCCTTCTTTCTCTTCTTCTTCCTAGAACAACCAATTTTTTATGAAAAGAATGACTATTCTTTACATAAAGAATGATTGGTCATTCATAAGGAATGACCATTCTTTCCGTGAGAAACGATTGGTCATTCATAAGGAATAACCATTCTTTCTGTGAACAACAATCATTCTTTCATAAGGAATGTTCGTTCTATTTTTTTGATTCAGTCAAAATCATTTTCACAGTTATTAAATAGGCCATGCTCCTTTGCCTAACTTTGTTTGAATTAATTCTTTTGTTTCTCCCCTTTTATAATCACATTAGTAACGTTACTAATACACCGTTCAAATTTCTGAAACATTAGATCTTATAATATTCTAATTTTTTAGATATTAATTTGACAATAAATAACATATCATGATATCTTGACATTATCTAATAAATATGTGATGAAAATATGTTTAAAACCATAAAATATGCCCAAAGATAACTATGAAAAACACCTGTCTTATAATGTTGCTGAATTTCAGATCTATTCCTTGCTCCTCAACTTTATGCCCAAAAATCAATAGTAATATAAATTAATCAAGAAAAAAATTGTCGCAACGTTATAATTATATTTCAATATTACAACGATTTACATTATTAATTCTTGGCAAAACAGAAACTCCATTGCATTTACATGAATTTCATATAGACAATCCACAGCATTGTTCTTACACAGAGCATTCAGTGTTTTAACCAGAGATTTCAATGGCCTTGACGTCAGGTTTCTTAACCTCAACCTTGGGAACAGTAACAGTAAGGACTCCGTTCTCCATAGAAGCCTTAATTTGATCCATCTTCACATTCTTCGGTAGCTGAAAACTCCTGGAGAACTTCCCACTACTACGTTCCACACGATGCCACGTCTCGTTCTTGTCTTCCTTCTCTACACTCCTCTCTCCGCTAATCTGAAGCACCCTGTCATCTTCGATCTCCACCTTCACTTGTTCTTTCTTGAGCCCAGGAAGATCGGCCTTGAACACGTGAGCCTCTGGGGTTTCCCTCCAGTCTATCCGGGTGTTGACAATAGCCGAGGTTTCTTGAGGGAAACGACTGGAGAGTGAAGAAAAGTCCTTAAAAGGATCCCAAACATCCAGAGAGAAGGGATCGAAGATGCTGCTGCGCTGGTTGCCGAAGAAGCTCGGAATCAGTGCCATATGGTATCTGACAATGCGAGAGTATTAGATTTGATTGCTGAGTTTGATGTTTCACTTTGAAGAATTGTCTCCGATGGTCTAAAACGGGAGAGGCTTGGGGTTTTTATAAGACTAATGGAAAATTCTGGTACTTCGCACGCAAATCTCTTCTGTTTAGTTATGAAGCCTCTGGGGCCTTTTGGTAAATTCGAGAAGTTCTTAAGTTCCGGGCTTGCCAGAAAGTTCTGGACTTTCTTCTGGAATGGGCTATCAAGTTAAGCAACTTAAGCTTCATTAAAGCCTTTTATTTTATATTTTCCTTTTATCTATTATTTTTCGCAACTTTTAAAACTTATAGTTTATTCTTTAAATTGCTTTTTTTTTTTTTTGAAAAAAAGAACACTTTTCTCTTCACCGTTAGACTTAAATTTTTCAGTTTATTCCGAATATGATATTTTTATATCCTCTTTTTTTTTTTTTCTTTACAATGGTACACTTTAAGTATGGTTGTTCTTTTTAAATTTGAAGTTATAAATTAATCCAATTAAAAAAAAAAAAAAAGCAAAAATTTCAATTTAATGGATTGTCTCCGTCATGATATAGTTTTCTTAGAATTATTAGAGTTTTTTTAGGAATATATAATTTTTTACTTAACAGATGTTGGTTTTAGAAAAACTATTTAGTAATTAAGAAGACAAAATCTTGGGTTTAGGAGACTTTCGAGGAAAACAAAAATTAAATGCATAGATATTTACCATGACCGAAATCTATTAATCTAGATGAACTAAAAAATAGAAAAATGAGGTGTAAAGAAAAAACATATTTATGTGTAAAAGGGTAATTTTAATATTAAATGGGGCTTAAAAGGAGATTTCAAAATACAAATAGGGCGTACTTAACAATAGGAGCTATTGACTATTACATTGGGGCTAAAAATTACTTTCTTGTGCTCTTTTGTTGTATAAAGCAATGTTTTGAAACCCGGCCCGGCCCAGCCAGTTGAATTGGTTCAACCGGGACCCGGAAGCTTCAATGGGCCAGGTTTAATTTTTTCCTATTCACCCAATACCCGGATTTTCGGTGATGATCGACGAACAATTAACTGTCGGAATGTTAGGGCTTTTGAAGAGCAATTTCCGGTGAATGTAATGGTGGTGAAAGATTTGATTTTCGGTGAGTAAATCGACGGAAAATCGAACAAAACTAGCAGCGGGAATGATGAGATTTTTTCAGCGATTGACGAGGCTAACGGGGGTGGGATGAGG